CCCGACTGTGTGACCTCCAAACCCCTCACAGTGTAACCTCCAAACCCGCCCACTGTGTAACCTCCAAACCCCCCCACTGTGTAACCTCCAGAGCCCGTCCACATAAACTCCAAAACCCCTCCATCACCTCCAAACTCCCTCCATAAACTTCAAACTCCCTCCATAACTCCAAACTCCCTCCATAAACTCCAAACTTCCTCCATAACTCCTAACTCCCTTCATAACTCCAAACTCCCTCCATAACCTCTGAAACACCTCCATAACCTCCAAAACCCTCCAAAACCTCCAAACTCACTCCATATCTCCAAACTCCCTCCATAAACACCAAACTCCCTCCATAACTCCAAACTCCCTCCAAAGCCTCCAAACTCCCTCCATAATCTCTAAACTTCCTTCATAACCTCTAAACTACCTCCATAACTCTAAACACTCTCCATACCCTCCAAACTCCCTCCACTACCTCTAAACCTCCTCCATACTCTCCAAGCTCCGTCCATAGGCTCCAAACCCTTTCCATAACCTCCAAATCTCCTCCATAACCTCCAAACCATCTATATAACCTCTAAACCACCTCCATATCCTCAAAACTCCCTTCATAACCTCCAAATCCCTTCCATAACCTCCAAATCACCTCCATAACCTCTAAACCTCCTCTATACCCTCCAAACCCTCTCCATAACCTCCAAACTCCCTCCATAAGCTCCAAACTCCCTCCATAACATCCAAAATCCCTCCATAACCTCAAAACCCCCTCCATGACCTCCAAACTCCCCTCCAAACCCTCTCCATAACCTCTAAACTCATCCATAACCTCCAAATCCCTTCCAAGTCTTTACTACAACTCCCATGTCGCCCACTAGTCAACCTTCATAATCCCTCTTAGGTTACTCCATGCCCCCTCCATCTTTGCTTTATGTCCCCTCCATTCCCTAGTGGACACCATGTAGAGAATAAACAAACCATATAACACCAACAGTGGAATCTTGGGGTCAGAAAACACCAATTCAAATACCTTCTTCTTAGAAAGAAAATGTTGTCACCATGACCCTGTGAAACAGGGCCAATGGATTATCAGTAACAAAAGGTTTCGCCAATTCCCACCTTTTAACCTTATCATTGAGACTTTGACAAAATAATACTTCATTGTCATGCACAGTAATCACAACATTTCTGTTTGTCCAGACAAACCCTCTGCCAAGTTAATGCACATTACTGAGTCTTGGAACTCAGCCAAGCATTCACAATGAGCAGAATGGGAACTGTCTGAGCAGACGCAGATGGCCGGGCATTTGTTTTTCCACCTGGGGTTAGCTTTATCAAGGTTCAGCTTCAGATTTCTGCTTGTTGGATGATTTCCAATTCTCTTCCTTGTCTGGATGATGGTATGAATTCATCATCTCTGGGAGGTGTCACATTGAACTGTCATCCTCTCGGACTAGAGATGTTTCGGTTTATTTTCCTCATTGTTCTCTCTGTGTCTGTGCGGCTAGAGGATTGATAAACTATGACAGCGCTCCCACACGCCCACATGCATTCACATAACAATTAGTTCCAAACCCTTTACCAATGATAATTTAATCCCTCTGTGGTTATACGTGGATGACATTTATCTCCATGTGAATGTGGAAGCAAAGGTTTCTTTGCCATTAGAATATTTGTAAAGCCCTTCCTTGTTCCTCTTTAAGAACGTCACAACTAGGAGCAGCACCTGGAGGCCATTCAGCCCCTCAATCCTGCTCTGCCATTTAATACGCTCGTGGCTGATTATCATCTCAGCCTCAAATCCACATTCCTGCTCTCCATAACCCATCAACCTGTTACTCATTAAATATCCGTCTATCTCTTCCTTCAAATTTATTCAATGTCCCCCAGCATCCACCATACCCTTCGGTAGTGAATTCCACAGATTCATAACCCTTTCCTCCTCATCTCTGTTTTAAATTCACTGCCCTTTATCCTAAAGCGATGACCTCTCATTCTAGATTGCCCCACTTGAGGAAACATCCTTTCTACGTCTACTTTGTCAATCCTTATCAGCATCTTCTCAACCTCAGTTAGATCACCTCTCAAAAGTTCTGAGGAAGGCTCACCGGACCCGAAACGTTAACTCTGTTTTTTCCTTCACAGATGCTGCCAGACCTGCTGAGCTTTTCCAGCAACTTCTGTTTTTGGTCCAAAGAGTACAGGCCTAGACTGCTCAATCTCGCTTTTATTCTGCTCATTCATAGGATGAGGGCCTCACTGGCCAGGCAGCATTTATTGCCCATCCCTAATTGCCCTGAGGGCAGTTAAGGGTCAACCACTTTACTGTGGGTCTGGAGCCACATGTAGGCCAGACCAGGTAAGGATGGCAGTTTCCTTCCCTAAAGGATATTAGTGAACCAGATGGGTTTTTCCAACAATCGGCAATGGATTCATCATGAGATTCTTAATTCCAGATATTTATTGACTTGAAATTCCACCATCTGCCATGGTGGGATTCAAACCCGTGTCCCCTGGGTCTCTGGATTAACAATTTGGTGATTGTACCACTAGACCATCGCTTCCCCTTGAAGATATAAACAAATAAGTGGAGGTTGTTTAGGGAGCAGTTGCTACAAGTACTGGATAGGTTTGTCCCACTGATGCAAGGAAAGGATGGTAAGGTGAAGGAACCTTGGATGACAAGACATGTTGAACACCTAGTCAAGAGGAAGAAGGAAGCTTACTTAAGGTTGAGGAAGCAAGGATGGGAAAGGGCTCTAGAGGTCTACAAGGTAGCCAGGAAGGAACTGAAGAATGGACTTAGGATAGCTAGAAGGGGGTATGAGAAAATCTTGGCAGGTAGGATCAAGGAAAACCTCAAGGCTTTCTATACTTATATGAGGAACAAGAGGATGGCCAGAGTGAGGGTAGGGCCGATCAGGGACAATGGAGGGAACTTGTGTGCGGAGTTAGAGGAGCTAGGGGAGGTCCTTAATGAATACTTTGCTTCAGTATTCACCAGTGAGAGGGACCTTGACGTTTGTGAGGACAGCATGAAACAGGCAGATATGCTCGAACAGGTTGATGTTAGAAAGGAGGATGTGCTAGAAATTTTGAAAAAATGAGGATAGATAAATATCCCTGGGCCAGGTGGAATATACCCAAGGTTATTACGGGAAGCGAGGGAAGAGATTGCTGCCCCTTTGGGAATGATCTTTGCATCCTCACTGTCCACTGGAGTCGTGCCAGAAGATTGGAGGGTGGCAGATGTCATTCCCTTGTTCAAGAAAGGGAATAGGGATAATCCTGGAAATTACAGACCAGTCAGTCTTACTTCTGTGGTGGGCAAATTATTGGAGGGGATTCTGAGAGATAGTATTTATGATTATTTGAAAAAGCACAGTTTGATCAGAAACAGTCAGCATGGCTTTGTGAGGGGCAGGTCATGCCTTACAAGCCTTACTGAATTCTTTGAGAATGTGACAAAACACACTGATGAAGGTAGAGCCATGGATGTGGTGTATATGGATTTTAGCAAGACATTTGAGGAGGTTCCACATGGTAGGCTCATTCAGAAAGTAAGGATGCATGGGATTCAGGGACATTTGGCTGTCTGGATACAAAACTGGCTGTACAACTGAAGACAGAGGGTGGTAATAGATGGAAAGTATTCAGCTTGGAGCTCCGTGACCAGTGGTGTTCCACAGGGATCTGTTCTGGGATCTCTGCTCTTTGTGATCTTTATAAATGACTTGGATGAGGAAGTGGAAGGGTGGGTTAGTAAGTTTGCTGATGACACGAAGGTCGGTGGAGTTGTGGATAGTGTGGAGGGCTGTTGTAGGTTGCAACAGGACATTGACAGGATGCAGAGCTGGGCAAAGAAGTGCCAGATGGAATTCAACCTGGAAAAGTGTCAAGTGATTCATTTTGGAAGGTTGAATTTGAATGCAGAATACACGGTTAATGGCAGGATTCTCGACAGTGTGGAGGAACAGAGGAATCTTGGGGTCGACGTCCATCGATCCCTCAAAGTTGCCACCCGAGTTGATAGAGTTGTTAAGAAGGCGTGTGGTGTGTTGGCTTTCATTGGCAGGGGGATTGAGTTTAAGAGCCGCGATGTTATGCTGCAGCTCTATAAAACCCTGGTTAGACCACACTTGGAATATTATGTTCAGTTCTTGTTGCCTTACTCTAGGAAAGATGTAGAAGCTTTCGAGAGGGTGCAGAGGAGATTTACCAGGATGCTGCCTGGACTGGAGGGCAGGTCTTATGAGGAAAGGTTGAGGGAGCTAGGGCTTTTCTCAGTGGAGCGAAGAAGGATGAGAGGTGACTTGATAGAAGTTTACAAGATGATGAGAGGCATAGATAGAGTGGATAGTCAGAGACTTTTTTCCCAGGGCGGAAATGACTATTACGAGGGGGCATAATTTTAAGGTGATTGGAGGAAGGTATAGGGGAGATGTCAGAGGTAGGTTCTTTACACAGAGAGTGGTGGGTGTGTGGAATGCGCTGCCAGCAGTGGTAGTGGAGTCAGATACTTTAGAGACTTCTAAGCGACTCTTGGATAGGCACATGGAGGATAGTAAAATGTAGGGTATGCAGGGTAGATTGATCTTAGTAGGATAATAGGTTGGCACGACATTGTGGGCCGAAGGGCCTGTACTGTGCTGTACTGTTCTATGTTCTATGTTCTATTTAAACCCCTCACCTCTGGAATCAACCGAGTGAACCGCCTCTGAACTGCTTCCTGTCACATGACTGCACTTGTCTTTCAGGAAACTGCATTGCACTCGCAACTACATCCACATGAATTTATTTGTCTCCTTCATCCTGCGGGCAATATCGGTCTTCATCAAGGACGCCATCTTGTACTCTGAGGACGAGGTCACTCACTGCTCCATCACTACGGTAGGGATGAGCTTGTTGCACGTGCTGGGAGGGGGTCAGGCCAGGGCAGACACGCCCCGCAGAGGGGGAAATAAACGAGGGGTTCGGTTGGAAGGAAGGGTGCTCCTCAGCTTTCGGATGTGAGGGATTTTGCTGGGGAGTGCCTCATGTTTCCCTGTCCCATAACGCAGCCTCCGTACGCTTCCAGGTCCAATGTAAAGCAATGATGGTCTTCTTCCATTACTGTGTGATGTCCAACTACTTCTGGCTGTTCATCGAGGGTCTCTACCTCTTCACTCTGCTTGTCGAAACTTTCTTCCCCGAGCGGAGATACTTCTACTGGTACATCCTTATTGGCTGGGGTAAGTTCTTTGTTTGTCAATGCCATCCTGGGATTTACCTTCTCGCCGTTGCCAGGGTGACTGGCATGGCAAGGAACCACCATCTGTCTCTGTGGGCCGGCAGGGGAACGGGAAGGAACGCTGTCAATAAAAACCGCCCCCCAACCCCACCCCAAACACATTCCCTCGAGATCTCTCCCCTCCCCCCCACCCCCAACATGTTCTTGCCTTTAACCCGATGGGCGTAAACATTGACAAGTGGATCAGGTGCCACTATTTTTGGGGCAAGGTGGCAGTTTGCATGGGTCAGCGCAGGGTTGGAACCATTAACTGGGTACTACCCTTCGGACTTTGATGGCTATGCCAATGTGGACTACCTGTCCCTAACTGCGCACACCCCCCACCCCGCCCCTCACCTCCCCACAACGAGAAGATGGTGCCAAGCTGAGCGGAGAGCACAACACAATTTCAAGAAGCAGTTGGAACAAAACACCCAGGACTAAAGGGATTCCCGGATGTAGGGCAAACGCGGGTTTGGGTATCGAGTCGGATGATCGGCCATGATTACATTCAGTGCTGTAGGAGGCTGGGAGGGCTGAATGGCCTCCCCTTGCTCCGATATGCTGTCTCTGCACTCCTCAGGGGTAGGTAAAACCACCGTAAGACACCAGAGCAGAAATAGGCCATTTAGCCCATCAAGTGTGCTCTGCCATTCAATGGCTGATCTGATAATCCTCAACTCCACTTCCCTGCCTTTTCCCCATCACCCTCACCGCAACGGCCCCTCTGCGGTCAAGAATTCCACAGATTCACTCCTCTCTGAGAGAAGAAATTCCTCCTCATCTCTGTGTGTGACTCCTTACTCTGAGGTTACACCCTCTGGTCCTAAACTCTCCCACAAGGGGAAACGATCTCTCCACATCCACCCTGTCAAGCCCCCTCAACATCCTTAGGGAGAGAATTCCAGGAATTTTTACCCAGCGACAGTGAAGGGTATATTTCCAAGTCTGGATGGTGAGTGGCTTGGAGGGGAAGTTGCAAGGGGCTGGTGTTGCTATTTATCTGCTGCCCCCTTGTCCTCCTGAAGGGCAGTTAGGGATGGGTAACCAATACTGGCTTGGCCAATAATACCCACATGCCATAGTTGAATAGGACCCCAGCGGTGCCAGGTTGGAATGGTGACCACTGCTCACACTGCAGGCTGTTTCTGAAGGTGGGGGGTGGGTGAACAAGCAGAGACTGGATGCCAGGAGAGTTGGGGGTGGGGGGTCAGTGGTGACCAGATGGCAAACCCTGGCGAGCAGGGTAAGGGACGCACTGGGTTTTGGAGGGTGTGGGTGGGGAGTTGGTGTGTGGTGGGGTGGGGGAGTGGTGGCCATGGGATGTTAATGAGTGAGGGTGATGAGGGTATCTGATATAGCCAGAGGGTGTGGCCTGAAAGCAGATGAAAGCACAGCTATACCCTGATCCTCGGTGCAGGACAGAGCAGGGGCACAGGGAAGCGGTACAGAGCAGGGGTACAGGGAAGCGGTACAGAGCAGGGGCACAGGGAGGTGGTACAGAGCAGGGGCACAGGGAGATGGTACAGAGCAGGGGCACAGGGAGGCGGCACAGAGAAGGGGCACAGGGAGGTGGTACAGAGCAGGTGGGTACCACATTACATCTTACAGGGAAGCTGCACCCCCCTACCCCTCCTCCTGAGTGACCTTAGAAAGTACAGAGCTGTTTATCAGGACAGACATACAGAAAACATTGACACCCTGCACTATTAAAGATCACCAATGTTAGCTCGGGATTAATCCATCCAACTGGAAATTCAGGGAGAACCTGAGGAAGAGAGAGAGAGAGACAGAGAGAAAGACAGAAATATAGAGAGAGAGAGAGACAGATAGAGAGATAGAGAAATAGAGAGAGACAGACAGACAGAGAGAGAAACACAGGGAGAGAGAGAGAGACAGAGAGGTCGAGAGAGAGACAGACAGAGAGACAGACAGCAAGAGACAGACAGAGAGATAAAGAGACAGAGAGATAGACAGAGAGAGGGGGAGAGAGAGACAGAGAGACAGACAGACAGAAAGAAAGATGGAGGACGGAGAAAAGAGAGAGAGACAGAGTAAGACAGAGAAACAGAGAGAGATAGAGAGAGAGAGGTAGACAGACAGACAGAGAGACACCAAGAGAAATAGATAGAGAGACAGATGGAGAGAGAAAGAGTACCAAATATTTTACTAAAATATTTGGTGGAAATCTGAAACACAAAAGGAAATTGCTGGTGGAACACGACAGGTTTGGCAGCAGCTGTGGAGAGAAAAACAGAGTTAACGTTTCGAGTCTAGTGACTGCCTCAGAACTGTTAGCAGGTGAGGGAAAGTGGTATTTATACTGTAGGTGATGTTTGAGGGATGTGGGCATTGAGGTATGAGTGGATAGGTGGAGACAGAGTGCAGAGAGAGGGAGATATGAAAGGGGTAGGCTGAGAAGGGGATTGTAATCATCAGCCAGGACAGAAGGGAAACTGAATAAGTGATAATGAGAACTGGGGAGGAGGACAGAATGGGTAGGCTGCACTGAAAGCAGTACACGTCATGTTTTCAGTGTGTCTGTACAGGTGTGTGCATGCATGTGTGCGTGCGCGTGTTTGTGTGCATGTGTGTGTGTGTGTCTGTGTGTGTGTGTCTGTTTAGGTGTGTGTGTGTGTCTGTGTGAGTGTGTGTATCTGTTTAGGTGTGTGTGTGTGTCTGTGTGTGTGTGTCTGTGTGTGACTGTGTGTATCTGTTTAGGTGTGTGTGTGTGTCTGTGTGTGAGTGTGTGTATCTGTTTAGCTGTGTGTGTGTGTCTGTGTGTGTGTGTCTGTGTGTGAGTGTGTGTATCTGTTTAGGTGTGTGCATGCATGTGTGTGTGCATGCGTTTGTTTACTTGTGTGTGTGTGCGTGTCTGTGCGTTGGTCTGTGTGTGTGACTGTGTGAATGTGTGAGTGTGTGTGTGAGTATGTGTGAGTGTGTGTGTGTGAGTGTGTGTGTGTGTGTGTGTGACTGTGTGTGTGTGTGTGAGTGTGTGTGTGTGAGTGAGTGAGTGTGTGACTGTGTGTGTGTGTGTGACTGTGTGTGTGTGTGTGTGTGTGTGTGTGTGTGAGTGTACACGTGTGTGTCTGTTAGTGTGTGTGGGATCTTGCTGTGTACAAACTACCTGCCATGTTTCCTCTGCAGTGGAAGGGGAATACTTTGCAAATGTTTTGGGACATCCAGACGTTTGTAAGAAATGACATGATTTTTCGTTATAATAAATGATTTGGTTTGTGATTCACCTGGATCGACACAGGGTGTCAGCAGATCCCCACCTCCCCATCTGCTGCCCACTTACAGAGTCATAGAGCACACAAACAGACCCTTCGGCCC